TATCTTATTTATTTATTTATTTTTTTTGGCTGGGGCTGGGTTTGAACCCACTACCTCCAGCATATGGGACCAGTGCCCTACTCCTTTGAGCCACAGGTGTCGCCCTACATATCTTATTGTTGTTGATATAGAGTATAACCAGCCACCTTGCTGAAATCTTTTTATTTCTAGTATTTTTTTCAGTTGTCTTAGATATTTTAGCTAGACAACTATTTATCATCTACAACTTTAGTTCTATGCCATGAATAGGCCCCCATTTTTTTTTTTTTTTGAGACAGTGTCAAGCTGTCACTCTGGGGTAGAGTGCTATGGCATCATAGCTTACAGCAACCTCAAACTCTTGGGCTCAAACTCTTGCCTCAGCCTCCCAAGTAACTGGGACTATAGGCACCCACCACAACGCCTGGCTATTTTATTGTTTTAGCTGGCTCAGGCCTGGTTCAAACCCACGAGCCTCGGTTTATGTGGCTAGCACCCTACCTACTGAGCTACAGGCGCCACCCAGAATAGGCCAAAATTAGTGCTGCTTTTTCACTCCAAAAAAAAAAAAAAACAAACAATGCAGCTGTGAAGAAGAATCAGGTATAGTCAAAAATTATCCTTTAAATTCCCTTGAATTCCCATTAAGTACAATATTCAGTTCTCTACAATAATGAGAGTATTCAGAATTATAAAGACTGTACATGAAAAATGTAATTTTGCAGTGTTTTTAATTAAAAACATCAAGATGGTAGTGTAAACTAATTTTTGAAAAGATAACTTGAACACTTACCATTCATCTTGGTTATTTTTTGCTGCTTTTTTATGATTATGATAATAGAAAAATAAGACTGATGGTGTAGCATATAAGTGAAAAATGATAAGGCTGCTGGTGTTGCATAATAAATACAACAATTCAGATGAGTAAAATAGATAAGTTTAATAATTTATGTTTTCTTTTCCTTCAAAACACTTCCAGGGAGTTGTTAGAGCTTGATGCCACAGAAGCCTCCTGTGATTGAGGAAGTAATTGGCCTGTGTTTGACTCAAAACATCATTTGTATAGGCTCACCTATTGGTTATTTTTCCTTATTTCTTAGAGAGGTCTCAAATCCACTTAGGATTTTCAGATTATATGCTGTTGATAACATTCAGAGATTAAGTCATTTTTGTATTGCTGGCTTTTCCTCTTAGTCATCATTTTTATGTTTTTTTCATTTCTACATTATCAGTGTTTCTTTAAGACTCACACTTAATTCTTAAATCTTTTCCTTGAAACTGTAAGCAAAACCATCCCTATTGTCATGGACTGACAAGCTCTACAGTGCTTTTCACTTTTTTGACAAAGAGCAAGACACCTTTCAAATCATTCACACATGCTTTTTATTTATTTCATACATGCCCTGACTTTAAAGCTTAATTGCATCCATTGAGCATTTAGTATAAGTGAAACATTGTTGGTAATGTTGAAGAATACTGCTTCACATTTAATATCAGGATTACCATTCACCTCCAGGTATGTTAGGGAGACTCTCGGCCTCATCAAATGGTCTTGGAACAGTAAATCACACTCTGCTTCAGAGGCTGGTGGATGAAAGTGGCAGGGCAGGCAGGAAACTGTGTAGTTAACTTGTACTGCAGTGTTTCAGTGTCCAGGAATTAGTGATCAGCAAGATTGTGAAAACAGCCCTATTTGAAGTCCTTACTGACCTCTGGATTCAGATGTCTGTAGAACTAATCCAAAAATAGTGCTGACATCACTCGAATCTATGGGGGTGTGTGCATGTTTTATACTTGTGTACAACACAGGCAGAAGATGTTACTTCCTGCGTTTGAGGTCATAGGAATTTGTAGCCTTTATGGTAGGGGTTGGCAAAACTTTTTTGGTAAAAGACCAGATACTAAGTTATTTTAGGCTTTGTGGGGTCACATGCACTATTGTCACATACTGTTTGGTCTTTTTTTTTTTTTAACAACCTTAACTCAAGAACCTTACAAAACAGGCTATAGCCTGTTGCTTTTTTTGGAACACAAGCCTAACCTTGAGTGCCAAACTGCACTACCATAAAACAGTATTTACCCACAAAACAGTATGATCTTGAGATGCTTTGAAGTCAGTAACTTACCTAATGATGAAATTTAAAGCGCATGGGCATTTGTTCTCCCTAGAAGAACCTCGTGGCTTCAATATCTTAAAAACCTGTTCTGAACGTTGGGAGAAAGAAACTGGGAGAGGGGTGTATAGGACTCTGTACTGTCTGTGTGGCTTTTGTGTGAACCCAGAATTATTGGAAAATATAGCTTTATTTGAAAAATCTTATTTTAGAAGATAGCTCTTTTGAGATTTCCTTTTATCAAGTTGGATTTTTGCTTTTGTTTTTATAAACAAATGCAGCCTAATTACCAGTCTACACATTTTTTGGCATTGACATAAACTTTAAAGCTTATCTTTTGGCTTGGCATCTGTGGCTCAAGTGGCTAAGGCGCCAGCCATATACACCCAAGGTGGTGGGTTCAAATCCAGCCTGGGCCTGCCAAACAACAATGACGGCTGCAACCAAAAAATAGCCAGGTGTTGGC